TTAGATTTCTTACTCTTATTTCAAGTGTATGGGTGTTTTGCCTGCATGTATGTCTATGTATCGTGTGTGTGCAGGTGCTGATGGAGTACTGAGAATGGAACCCAGGTCCTCTAGAAAAGCAACAAGTGCTCTTAACCACTGAGCCATCTCTCCAGGCTCTCCGCCACCCAGAGTTTTAATATTTACAAAAGAATGATGTACAGATGGATGAAATGAAAAGCAAAGAAAGAAAAGGCCCACTGGGCTGGAGAGCTGGCTTGGTGGTTCTGAGAGTTTGTTGATGAAAAACACCTGGGTTGGGTTCCCAGCACCCACACGGAGGCTGACCACCTCCTCAGGCACCAGCCTGACTCCATGAATGTACATGGAGTCAAAACACACATGCACATAAAATAATAAAAATAAATCTAAAAATTAAAAAGAGAGAAAGCCAAGCAAATCCTTAGGAAAAGCTCTAAAGGAGTGGGCAGAAAACAAAATAGAATTGCTAGCAAAAGATAACAGAATAAAGTCCCAAAGCCAAGGCGAATGCCTAATTCTTTAAATGGTGGTTTTTAAACTGTATAGTTATCAATCAAAAAACAAAACCAAACCCACTTTGGTGTCTTCAGAAACCTTGAAGAAAACCCAGAGCAGTGGTTCTCAACCTTCCTAATGCTGGAGCCTTTATTACAGTTCCTCATGTTGCGGTGACCCCAACCATGAAATTATTTCATTGCTACTTCATAACTGTAATTTTTAGTTATGAATTGTAAGATAAATATCCGTGTTTTCCAATGGCCTTAGGTGGCCCCTGTGAAGGAGTCTGACTCCTAGGTTGAGAAACACTGTTCTACAGGGAGGAGAAGAAGGCAAACTACAAAGGGAGGAGTTTAGTCAAACAGACAAAGCTGACTTAAGAGATTCTCTTTCAAGTCTTAAGCCAGCTGTGGTGTCGCTTGCAGACCTGGCACTCAGGAGGCGGAGGCAGGAAGATCAGCTGAGCTCAGGGACTTCCAAACAACCTGGGCAGTAAGGCAAGACCTTGTCTTAGGTGTCTAAAAAGAAAAGGACCTCAGTACTTCAACAGCCAAAGTGTGGGCCTCCAGATGAGGTATTCTGTGCAGGAGCCCTTCCGCACCAGCCTTTAGTTCAGGTGTCCATGATAAAAGCGTCAAAACGTCCGCTTGGTGGCCAGGAACAGCTCCAACCAGACTTTACTGATTGTCGGAGAGGATGCCACGCGGCCAAAATAAGGGAACTATTTAGAGTCCTCTTTAAAGCTCCTAGAGTCTTGCTCCGTATCCTTCTCAATGGCTTTACAAAGGTCAAAAAAGGATACATGTCAAAGCACTGGGAAATCAAGTCTCACAGCAACTGAAATCAAGTCACTATACAGCCCAGACTAGTCATGAAGTGTCGGTAATCCTCCTGCCTTACACCCCCAGTACTGGGGTTGTAAGAGTGAGTCACCTGCTTGGCACGGAACAAATAGACCTAGGTTTAAGCTCTGAATGTACTTATAAAACCTGTGCCCTCGGGCAAATCCCTATGCCTTTCTGGGCCTGGTTTAATTAACTCCCAGTCACAGGGTTATCGGGAGAAGTAAATGAAACAACCCAACTTTCAATTCTGTTTAGACTAAGATGATAGATGGCTTCACAAATAAAGAAGCCTTGACATAAGTATGTTGAGAACTGGTCCTTGGCTTGGGTCAATCTCAAAGTTTAGTTCCAGTGTTAGGAAGGCAGAAGCAGGTGGGTCTCTGTGAGATGGAGGCTAGCCCAAGATTCATAGTGAAATCCTGTCTTTAAAAACGCAAGTTTGAGGCCAGTCTGGGATACACACAACCTTGTCTAACAAAAGAAAGAAAGAAAAGAAAAAGAAAAAAAAAGGTAGTTTCTTTGAATTCTTAGGCTATCATATAATTATTTAGGTAGTCTTATTTATCTGTGACTTGGAGTCATGTAAACAACTGGGCTGTCTCAAATCCACAGTTTCATTTAACATCTTTTCCAGCACTACACTAACATTCCTTAGGGAAAAACAAGGAAAAAGGGCTGTGGATGAAGGACAAGACAAGTTTACAAAGTGGAGGCCCTGGCCAGAGGTTAGGAAAACATGCTGTTAGCCTTCCCAGCTGAGCCTTTCCAGCCCTAAAAGTCTGCAAAGCCAGAGGTGAAAGAAAAGAAAGATTGAGCCACGGCCTTGCCTCCTCCTGTCCACTGGGCTTGCAGGCTGCCAGCGTTGACTATCAGGTCATCGAGAGTAAAACAAAGGACAAACACCACAGGTTTCCTACTGGCACCGGGAAGAAGAGGGTGGGAAAGGGGCAGGTAAGCGATGACCTCACTAGCAAAACTCCTGAGCCAAGCCTTGCCTTGCTCCTCTGGGTACATCTGTCCTTGTCTTTGTACCCACGAGTGTTTGTACTGTGTGTGTAGGGCAAGACTTTGGAAGACTTTTCACTTTCTTCCACCTAAGAACTGAGAAGGGGTGTGTGTGTGTGTGTGTGAGAGAGAGAGAGAGAGAGAGAGAGAGAGAGAGAGAGAGAGAGAGAGAGAAGAGGGGCAGATTGTTATCAGAATACCAGGTGAAAGGTCATTACAGCCTATCTAGGAGGCAGCCAATTCAGAACAAGCCTTGGCCACAGGCCCGGGAAGCAAGCTGCCGCTGCCAAAGTTAAACAGAGTTTTGGCCTAACACAGAACAAACAAGTGGTCTGCGGGGAGTGCTGTAAACAGAAGAAAGGACAGGCACGCAGGGAACAAGACACTGAACTGTCAAATTAAAAAAAAAAATCAGTACTCCATAGACAACCTCAACTAAATACCAGTGTTGCCTTCTCTAAGATGTCCCAAGTCAACACTCTGGGACCCATTTGCAGCCACCTCGACTCCTTCCTTCTGATCTCCTCAAATCTTAAAAAACAAAAATAGTAATTGTTTACATTTAATTTATTTTCTGTGTCTGTGGGCATGAGTAGTAAGGCAGGAAAGGTCAGGGTTGGGTCTCTCCTACTGTAGGGGTTCTGGGGACTGAACTCTGCCATCTCCCTGGCTCTCCTCAAATCTTATGTAGCTGGGGCTGAAGAAGTGGCTTGGTGGCTAATAATACCAGAGGACCCGGATTGAATTCCCAGCACCAGAATGGCAGTTCCAACTCTGTAACTGCAGTTTCCAGGGCATCTAGCATCGTCTTCTGGACTCTGCCTGTAGCAGGCATGCATGTGGCAAAACACCCATGCATGCACACAAAAATTCTTAAGTCTTATGTTGGTACATATCACACTATTTAACAATATTGATATATATGCTTTTGGTAAGCATTTTGATGTTTTATGATATCAAGCTAATTTTCCCCCCCAGATGCCTGCAGAGTTTGGAACTAAAAATGAGAGTCCTACCTCCTTTGTTCTTAATCAATACTGTTTATCATCGGAAAACACCTCAAGCCTAGTTACCTTTCTGGAACAAACACACACACACACACCCTAAGGATCAACATGTTCCTAAACTCTGGTGTTGTGTTTATGGTTTTCAACCGTGTGACATCCAGCGCTGAGCTTGCTTAATATTGAGGTTGAGTTGTAACTTGTTAGCCTGAGGGTGTCAACCCAGTTCAGGCCTGTGAGCATGGTGAGGCGCTTTGATGGACAGCAGCGAACAGGTTCCTAACTGTGCAGAAGGCAGGATTTTAGGCACGCGAAAGCTTTTTACTTCTCCATTGTCTTCATGTCCCAGCACAAGGAACAGGGCGACAATCTCCTGATAATTCTGCCCAAATATGGAAGGAGCCTAGGACTCAGTGACAAGGGGAGGGGGCGGAATCCTTCTGCACAGGCGGTTTTCTTAGCACACTTAAGACTTATTTCTTGAGTCAGCTCCTGGAGCCATCTCTGTCAGCTTAGTCGACAGCCAGCCAAGTAATGCCAACAGAACCTGAGCCCTGGTGAGTGTGGAACAGGCTTACAGATATGCATTGCATTCAGCGAGCTTAAGAGAGAGGAGGAAGACATAGAGTGACAGGAACAAGGGGACTGAGTCAGAAGGGATGGATCTTTTTCTTCCTTTTTTTTTTTTTTTTTTCTTTTCTGTACCCACTCCTTTTTTCCTGGAGAAACAGGGACGGAGGGAGAGATCAGTGTAGAGTACACACCTCATTAAAGTTGAATGAGGTGAATGAGGGAACATATACAAAGTGTTCCCCAACTTCACAGGTAGTCTGAAGAGATGCGGGGATAAGCAACAGGATGTGGACACTCCCTTACTGCTTCCGTTCCAGAGGACAGAGAACAGAATAGAACGTACATGTGTGAGAACAGTAGCAGCCCACAGGGACATGGAAGGAAGGGGACACACCAAACAAATGTTCCCGCTTTCCAATGGGGACAGAAAGGGGGCTTAAAATATCAGACATATGTGCTTTGTTCCTCAATAGGAACTTGCAATAGGAGGCGGGCTCTTTCTCACTAACACAACCACACCCTCGCCCTCTGCCCAGTCTGAAGTATCCTTGGGGCAGTGGGATTATTTTTCACAGACTTGCGAACTTGTGAGCCAGGAATAAACAGTCGCCTCGAAATGAATTGCGCTGGCTAAGACGAGACATGAAATCGTCTCCTAAGCACATTTTTCTTTCACCTAAAAAAAGAAAAAAACAAAACAAAACCCAAGCCACCCAAACAACCGTGACCCCAGGCCGAGTGCCTGGATGGGGTTCAGGGTCGCGGGGCCAGAGCCTCCTAACTCCCGGGGGAGGGAGGGGGGGGGGATGAGCGGTCCGGGGCCCCAGCCTCGCCCCTCCTCCTGGCAAGGCAGCGCACCCGCACAACAACCATTTTCCCCGCTAGAGCACACCGTGTCCACGCGCCCCTGCGGCCTCGCTGATTGGTCGGAGGCCTGGTAAACAAGAGCCAAGCAGCCAATGGGAGAACTGTGCACGAGGGCTTCACGAGCCTCAGAGCCAGCGCTCGCGTGGTGCTGCTAGCCAGGCAGCTATATAAAGGCGTTTCCGGCTCCCGATAGACACTCTAGTCCTCTAGTCTCCTGCCTACCCGGAATTCATCGAGCTGCTGGAGCAAAGACAGCTGTTGTTGCTGCCTCTTGAAAGCCTTTGGCACAGCCCGCGGCTTGCAACTTTCAGGCACCGGTTCCAGAAGTTGTTGGGGTTTGCTGGAGAGCTTCTTGAAATTTTTATTTGGGTTTTTCAAGCCCCGGTCTGCGGTCCGGAGAGTGAGCGCTTTAATTCGCTGTGAAGGGCTCCTGGAGTTTTTCCTTTTTGACTTCCGTTCATCTTGAACCCGCTGAGCCCAGCCATGGTGATGTTCAAGAAGATCAAGTCTTTTGAGGTGGTCTTCAACGACCCGGAGAAGGTGTACGGCAGTGGGGAGAAGGTGGCCGGCCGGGTGATAGTGGAAGTCTGTGAAGTTACTCGCATCAAAGCCGTCAGGATCCTAGCTTGCGGAGTGGCCAAGGTCCTGTGGATGCAGGGGTCTCAGCAGTGCAAGCAGACCTTGGACTACCTGCGGTACGAAGACACGCTGCTCCTAGAAGACCAGCCGACAGGTACGGAGCCAGCTGTTCTTTGCAGGGCGGATGGTGGCTGGGGCGGGGGAGGGCTTTAAAAGGAGGCACTGGCGCCTCCACCAAGTGTTTGGAGTTGTTCGCTCGAAGGGTTTGAATTATGTTGGTGCCGATATTTTTAAGTTTTAATTTACAAGCATTTTGCTACACACCCTTCCCCCGAGGGTGATTTTATACAGTTTCTGAGGTGCTGTTTCCAGAAGGTGTTGCCTTAGCTACTTAAAGACTAATGTATTCACAGTCTGTTCCCGATTCCTGGGGCAACTGTGCTGGATGAAGCTCTTAGTAATTGTGGGCTTTGCAGCTTTCTGTCCAAGAAAGTGCACCGGAATCTTTTATTCCACTGTAAGAGATGATAATGGAAGTCAAATAATCTTGTCTGCTGCCCAAACCGTCTACACAGTGGCTTTTGAAATGTAACGAGAAACCTAATGGGCCCTTGCCTTTGTTTCCCTGCAGGTGAGAACGAGATGGTGATCATGAGACCAGGAAACAAATACGAGTACAAGTTTGGCTTCGAACTTCCTCAAGGGTAGGCATTGGCTGAATGCACCTTGGACTCTATTTCTATAACCCCCCTTCCCTTCCCCCCTCCGATCTCTTACTGTTCTTAGAGAGCATTAATTCTTTTTCCCATCGTTTTGACACAGGCCCCTGGGAACATCCTTCAAAGGCAAATATGGTTGTGTCGACTACTGGGTGAAGGCTTTTCTTGATCGTCCCAGCCAGCCGACCCAGGAGGCGAAGAAAAACTTCGAAGTGATGGACTTAGTGGATGTCAATACCCCTGATTTAATGGTGAGGGTTACTTTAAAGTTCTAGTCTCCTTGGTCGGGGATAATAAACTAGATGCTTGGAGCATTGAAATATCTCAAAACATCGTGTCCTTCTACACAGGCACCGGTATCAGCTAAAAAGGAGAAGAAAGTTTCCTGCATGTTCATTCCTGATGGGCGCGTGTCCGTCTCTGCTCGAATTGAGAGAAAAGGGTTCTGTGAAGGTAAAAAAATCTCTTGCTTAAAACACAGACGGGGTAGTCAGAACCATGGGCTTGGAGGGGGAGGGGGGCATGGAGTTGGGGAGGGGGGCATGGAGTCGAGGAGAGGAAGCACTGTTAACCTCATGGATATTCATGTCTTTTCATCTCCTATCCCAGGTGATGATATTTCCATCCACGCCGACTTCGAGAACACATGCTCCCGCATTGTGGTCCCCAAAGCAGCTATTGTGGCCCGACACACTTACCTTGCCAATGGCCAGACCAAGGTGTTGACTCAGAAGCTGTCCTCAGTCAGAGGCAATCACATCATCTCGGGGACCTGTGCGTCCTGGCGTGGCAAGAGCCTCCGCGTGCAGAAGATCAGACCGTCCATCCTGGGCTGCAACATCCTGCGCGTGGAGTATTCCTTGCTGGTGAGTGAAGCAGGGGCTTGGTTCTAGAGGGGAAACAATTCTTCAGGTACACATTCAGTGCCTTCTCTACCCAACCATCTAACACACTGCCACCTTCCTTTCTAGATCTATGTGAGCGTCCCCGGCTCCAAGAAAGTCATCCTTGACCTACCCCTGGTGATTGGCAGCAGGTCAGGTCTGAGCAGCCGGACCTCCAGCATGGCCAGCCGGACAAGCTCTGAAATGAGTTGGATAGATCTTAACATCCCAGATACCCCAGAAGGTAAGCTACGAACAGCTAATAGCTTTCTTTGGCCTGATCGGGCTTGTGCAGTTGGTAGTCTGGCGGTTCTTAGCTGGATTTCTCATTCCTGTTTTCCCTTTGTAGCCCCTCCTTGCTACATGGACATCATTCCTGAAGACCACCGCTTAGAGAGCCCCACCACTCCCCTGCTCGATGACGTGGACGGTGCTCAAGACAGCCCTATCTTCATGTATGCCCCTGAGTTCCAGTTCATGCCCCCACCCACTTACACTGAGGTGAGAATTGCTATTTTTTATTGTTGACGTTTTATCCCAGGCCTTCTGAAGAAAGGAAGGATTATTAAGCACATGGTTTTTCTATCTAAGAAAACTAAAATAGTCTCTTCACGCTTCCTCCCCAGGTGGATCCCTGCACCCTTAACAACAACAACAACAACAACAACAACGTGCAGTGAGCGTGTGGGAGACAAGATGCGTCTGTACTCACTCTCTTCTTTCTGCCTCTCTGCTTGGACTCCAGTGTTTTAGAGACCCAGTCTCAGAGTGGAGAATGGCTCCACCCCAGCCTCTGACTATACTACAGGGGTGGTGATCAGCAGGCGGGTTCTCCGGCTTCAAGTGGTGCGGACCCAGCCAGCGCCCGCACTGTGTGTGGTATTAGGAGTGTTTGCTGGGTGGTTCAGACCCGGTCCACTTTCTCTCAGGCCTTGGAAACGAAGAGGTTGTCTGTAGTTTTTGAGTCAGTGTATAAATGACCTTTTGGCATGGTCTTTCCGAGGTTTTTTTTTTTTTTTTTGAAGGGAGTTCTAGATTAACAACAGCAAACCGTGAACTTCTCTGTGCCATGGAAGACAGAATCAATTTCACATACTAGAAAAAAAAAAGGAAAATCATGGCCAAAATTTTGGAAGAGGTGGTTTTGTTCTTGTTTTTTTAATCAGTGTTCCCTTTTTATATCCTTACAAAGAAAGAAAATCTTGCAAGGCTGATGTGGTTTGGGCCTGGGAGATGGAGTGCACCCTTTGTATCACAGGGCAGCTGCTCCAGGGGACTCGATCCTGGGCTCGGAGCAGTTCTGACTGCTTCCACCCATGGCCATAAAAGCCATTTCACAGCCAGTTGCACTGCGTTCTCTTATAAACTAACCAGACGGAGGATCTGTTATCTCTGTGTGACTCTTGGCACTTTAGCTCTAGTCTCGACTGCAGATGTAAACTCCACTGTCTGTGTCTTAAGGGTTAAGCCCAATGACAGGGCAAAGGGATTTGTCTGGGGGTTTTGATGTTGTTCTTTTTTGTTTGTTTTTTTGAGACAGGGTCTTGTCTATCCTTTGCTAGCCTGGAACTCTACACATAGACCAGGCTAGGCTCAGAGATCCCCCTGCCTCTGCCTCCTGAGTGCTGAGATTAAAGGCTCAGCTTGGTTATTACTTTGGAGACTTTGTCCCAGTATGCAGAATTGTGTGATTCTGATTTGACTACGAAGGGCGTGCCCTGTGAGCCTCTGCATCGAGATGCCCCGCACGGATCAGGGACTCCAGGCATTGCGATCAGAAGTTCACAAAAGCCCCCAGACCCATGTCCTGCCCCGTGTTAACTGCTCTCACTGTGGCCACTAGTGCCTGACCAGTCTCTCTCTGCCATAGCACTTTGTTCAATGTCTGTGTCAGCACTGAGCTCCACCCTTTTCTGAACTGCGCAGCCAGAGAGCATGTGAGCTGACGGTGGTTTCGTTTATGTTTTTGTATTTTGTGTATCTTTTTTGTATGACAAAAACTATATTTTGTACTTATCCAAATATATTTTCACCCCAAGATGGGGGATATCGTTTGTTAAAAAAAAATAAAGTTTTTTAATAGCAAAAAAAAAAGTTCATTTTTTCTTGTCTGTGAAACAACATTGGAGAAATTACTAGAAAGTAGGTGTGCACAATGGCCTTCCCCTGCTTCACAGTGCTGGAAACCCTGTCGAGAGAGCGGTCCCTGTAGACCCCGAGTGACATCAGAGCTGAACACAAACAGTGATCCATCAGCTGATTCGGGCTCCATTCAGACTAAGTTGGTGGGATCTGGTGATGGAAGCTAGTTAGCCACGTCTACAGTTATCTACAGTTATCACCAAATTCCTTCAGACTTGCTCCTGTGTAGCTAAGGCTGACCTTGAACTTTAGCCCTCAAAACGGGACCCAGACCCGATCCTTAGGCTTTGAAGAAAGTGTCTTTACCTGCTGAGCCACGTTCAGTTTTAAGAAATAGCTTTGTGGGGGGGTTGAAAGGGAGCGAGTGAGTTTCCTTTTTATATTTGTTTCTAAATCCATATGAGCAGCTTTTATTAAAACAAAGGTGGGGAGGTCCTGGGGAGAAGGGACTGGGAGACTAAGGTGAGGGAAATGTTACTCATTTCCCTGGGAGCAAGGAATCAATACTGGAACCCTGTGGTCCCTGGTGGTCCCTAATGTTCAGCAGACTCTGCAAATTCAAGAGTGACAAGCAGAAGCCTCAGTCCAGCAGCCCCAAGGATGGTTGGTGGGGATGGATGTTTTGGTTTATTTTGTTGAGACAAGTTCTCTAGCTCAGGCTAACCTCGGCCTCCCAGACACTGGGGTTAGAATTGTTTACCACCATGCCTGACTGACGTTCACTTTCATAATTTGGTTTTTACTGTAGAGATTTCCCCCCATATCAATCTGGTTTATATGCTGAAAAAGAATAATTATTTAGGACTTAGAGTTTTAGTTGCAGGTATTGGATATTTTAGAGGCAGCTAGTTTTCTAACTTTATTGTTCTTCACGTTTAGTTAGAACTCAGTGGTTGACTATCCAGCCCCACCCTTATTCCTTGGCGCCTGTTTTGTTTTGGCATTTCTATTTCTCACAGAGAACTGATGACTGATAGACCATTTCACTGCGAGCTGAAATTATCTTGTTCCAGAAGAAGCCACACACTGAGAGGCTGAGAATGGCAGAGGATACCACACAGTTCTTCCCAGTTTTTGACTCATCTGCTTGCTTTTCAAAATGGGTTTTCCCTTAGCTCCGTGTAGACCCGTACAGTCCTTGAAGCTTCCTGCGGTGCTGCACACCCAAAACGCAGCATCGAGGAGGCAGAGACTGACTGCCAAGAACTCAAGGGCCTTGGCCACAAGTACTACCAGGTCTGCTCGACTACACAAGAAGTACTTGTGTTCCCCCAAACAAACCAAAACCGCAGGAAGCCTGAATGGAACAGAAAGTGACATTGAAAACAAAAATTCTTTTCTACTCTAGGAATCGATCTTTATCATTCATTCTCTGAAACACGTTTCCTTACTTCCCTGCCCCACTTAAAACAAGTTATTGTTTGTGTGCAGATATGGGCACGTGCATGCCACAGTGCAAATGAAGATCAGGGGTCGACTGGGGTTGGTTCCCTCCTCCCACCTTCATATGATGCCAGGGATGATGGGATGTCCTTCGATCCATCAAACAGACCACCAAGCTCCCATAGCGAAGGCCTTTTCCCCCAAGGCTTTTCCTTGTCTTTTGATATAGGGTTTTATTTAGCCTAGGCTGTGTCAGGAGGATGACCTGATTGTCTTGCTTCCACCTTCTTAGTACTGGGATTGTAGGCATTGCCTGTGTTACCATGCCCGGCTTACATACCGCTGGGGACTGAACACAGGCTTCATCCTTGTTAGGCCAACGCCAGCTGGTCCCCCGCTAGCCTGTTTCTGGCTTCTTTCTGTCTATTTACAATGCACTGCTATCTAGCTCTTTCTATTGCTGTCAATACTCTCACCGCAAGTCCTCCCCTATTTTCTCACCTGTGCAAACATTCAGTCGCTCCTCCCCTTTAAATTTATGATCAGGAAACTAGGTCAAAGTTGACGGAAAAGGTTTTTTTTTTTTTTTTTTGTCTGCGGGGTGGTTTCCAGGGACTTGAGGGGTGGAGCAGATACAAGAGCAAGAGAGAGAGGGCCAGACTAGGGGCTGGAGAGCCGGGGAAGCCTGCGCCTGGGTATTAGTGTACACAGTCTATTACTCAGATTTGATATCAGTGCCAGGAGAGGATAACTACACCCCAGGCCACCTAAGAGATTCGAGCTTGCAAGAGGCAAAACAGATGCACCCTCTCGTGATACCCTAACCCTCATTCTCACCCCCATCTGCCACTGTCTACAGGATTTCCTTTTTCTTTCTGAGGTTGGTCTCACGCTGTCACCCAAACGAGCCTGGGACTCATTATTGCACGGCCTGGCGATGCTATTGCCTCAGCCTCCGAGCACCGGGCTTCTAGGTGTGAGTCCCCACGCCTGGCCGAAGGAATGCTCTCTGGTGAGGGGGTTGCTGTGTTGAGTACAGCAGCCATGAGCCGTGTGGAGCTGTCGGACTGTGACTGGAAAATGGAATTTTTAATTCTGTGTGATTAATTTAAGCTTAAATAGCACGGTGTCACTGGCCACCGCCATATCGCGTAGCACAGCTAACGCTGAGGAAGGAAGTTGCCGGAACTACTCCCAAGAGGAAACCCATCCCTCCCGAGAGCACAGCAGGCTCCACTCCCTCCACTTCCGCAATTTCTGCCTCCGCCTGGGCCGTGTTCTGTCTGCAGGCACACTCAGCGCCACTTCCCCAGGACCAGTGCAGCTGTTTCCCCGCTTAACGCTGGGGCTTCTTTTCCCACGCATCTGCCTTCCGATCTTTAAAGAGCTACAACCAACCTGTACAGCCAGGGGCAGAGTTCTGAGTGTTATTCCTCCGTTAGGCCCAATCTAGTGCTGGAAGATCCGAGAAAAGCCAAAAAGAAAAAAATACCCCCAAGGAAAATAAAACCAGTAACAGGGCCTGGTGGCTCAGGCCTGTAGTCCTACCCCTTGGTAGACCAAGGAAAATGGACTAAAAGTTCAAGATAGCTTGGGCTACACAGCAAAGCCTTTTTTTTTTTTTTTTTTTTGACTAGAGATAAAGCTCAGTTGGTAAATTCTTGGCCTAAAATGGACAAAGTAAAAACCTTGAGTTGGATCCTCAGTACAGTATACAAAAGGCCTAGTGGCTGACACCAGTCATTCCAGAAGTTGGCAGGCAGAGGCAGGAAGATCCCAGATGTTCAAGTCATGCTCAGCTTTGTCGTGAGTTTGAGGCCGGCCTGGGATACATGAGATCCTCTCTTTAAAAGGGAGACAGAAGAACCAGTATATCCAGGCCATCCTTGGCTACATCGTGGTGAGTTGAGGCCAGCCTGGGCTACAAAACAACAGCTACAAGTAGTTACTTCAAAAAACCAAGGGCCAGCCGGGCGATGGTGGCGCACGCCTTTAATCCCAGCACTTGGGAGGCAGAGGCAGTCGGATCTCTGTGAGTTCGAGACCAGCCTGGTCTACAGAGCTAGTTCCAGGACAGGCTCCAAAGCCACAGAGAAACCCTGTCTCGAAAAACCAAAAAAAAAAAAAAAAAAAAACCAAGGGCCTTCTTTGACATAAGGAAAATGCAAGGATCCAACTAAAGTCGGGGCGTTGAGAGAGAAAGTTGTGGAGAGAGGCAACAAGAAACAATCACACACACACAGCTAGTGACGCTGACTAACTCTGTGTGTGTGTGTGTGTGTGTGTGTGTGTGTGTGTGTGTGTGCCCCTGATGAGCACAACTTGGGTGTTGTTGCTTTGTCCACATTTTATTTTTAAAGCTAGGATGTCTCAGATCACAGTATGACATTCACTAAGTAGGCTACTCTAGCTGGCTAGGGATCCCCAGGGGTCTCCTCATCTCCACTTCCCCACCCCTGGATTATAAACATTAACCTCGTTCTGCATTTTAAGTGGGTTTTGGGGGGACCTAATGCAGATCTTCATATGTGTGGCTAGCATCGCAGTAGGAATTCACTCAGCACGCTCCTGACCGAGCTGCCTCTCCAGCCCATCTTTGAGCAATCCACAGAATCCTGCTAGAGTTTTTTTTTTTTT